ATCACACTGGCCGATTCCCACCAAGGCAGGGTGGCCCGAAAAAGAAAAACTTTCACCATCATTCACTCCATCACTGTCTTGCCAGAAGGGTGCTTTACACTACAGTTTTTAAACTGCAACATTAACACCCCTCCTTCAGAGTGCAGGCACTGTACTTCCCATCTCCAGGACTCAAGTCCAGCCTGCCGGTTTCCCTGATCCCCTTCATAAATGTTACTTTGCTCACACTCCAACAGCACGTCAAGTATTAAAAACCATTTGGATTTGTATGTTAATTTGTATGGATTTGTCAGTTAAAAACAGAGTAGGGGAGTTAGTAGATGGGGAGATGGAGGTATTAGGTAGATGGCGAGAATATTTTGAGGAACTTTTAAATGTTAAGGAAGAAAGAGAGGCAGTAATTTCATGCACTGGTCAGGGAGGTATACCATCTTTTAGGAGTGAAGAAGGCCAGAATGTAAGTGTGGGGGAGGTACGTGAGGCATTACGTAGAATGAAAGGGGGTAAAGCAGCTGGAACTGATGGGATCATGACAGAAATGTTAAAAGCAGGGGGGAATATAGTGTTGGAGTGGTTGGTACTTTTGTTTAATAAATGTATGAAAGAGGGGAAGGTACCTAGGGATTGGCAGAGAGCATGTATAGTCCCTTTATATAAAGGGAAAGGGGACAAAAGAGACTGTAAAAATTATAGAGGAATAAGTTTACTGAGTATACCAGGAAAAGTGTACGGTAGGGTTATAATTGAAAGAATTAGAGGTAAGACAGAATGTAGGATTGCGAATGAGCAAGGAGGTTTCAGAGTGGGTAGGGGATGTGTAGATCAAGTGTTTACATTGAAGCATATATGTGAACAGTATTTAGATAAAGGTAGGGAAGTTTTTATTGCATTTATGGATTTAGAAAAGGCATATGATAGAGTGGATAGAGGAGCAATGTGGCAGATGTTGCAAGTATATGGAATAGGTGGTAAGTTATTAAATGCTGTCAAGAGTTTTTATGAGGATAGTGAGGCTCAGGTTAGGGTGTGTAGAAGATAGGGAGACTACTTCCCGGTAAAAGTAGGTCTTAGACAGGGATGTGTAATGTCACCATGGTTGTTTAATATATTTATAGATGCGGTTGTAAAGGAAGTAAATGCTAGGGTGTTCGGGAGAGGGGTGGGATTAAATTTTGGGGAATCAAATTCAAAATGGGAATTGACACAGTTACTTTTTGCTGATGATACTGTGCTTATGGGAGATTCTAAAGAAAAATTGCAAAGGGTAGTGGATGAGTTTGGGAATGTGTGTAAAGGTAGAAAGTTGAAAGTGAACATAGAAAAGAGTAAGGTGATGAGGGTATCAAATGATTTAGATAAAGAAAAATTGGATATCAAATTGGGGAGGAGGAGTATGGAAGAAGTGAATGTTTTCAGATACTTGGGAGTTGACGTGTCAGCGGATGAATTTATGAAGGATGAGGTTAATCATAGAATTGATGAGGGAAAAAAGGTGAGTGGTGCGTTGAGGTATATGTGGAGTCAAAAAACATTATCTATGGAGGCAAAGAAGGGAATGTATGAAAGTATAGTAGTACCAACACTCTTATATGGGTGTGAAGCTTGGGTGGTAAATGCAGCAGCAAGGAGACGGTTGGAGGCAGTGGAGATGTCCTATTTAAGGGCAATGTGTGGTGTAAATATTATGCAGAAAATTCGGAGTTTGGAAATTAGGAAAAGATGTGGAGTTAATAAATGTATTAGTCAGAGGGCAGAAGAGGGGTTGTTGAGGTGGTTTGGTCATTTAGAGAGAATGGATCAAAGTAGAATGACATGGAAAGCATATAAATCTATAAGGGAAGGAAGGCGGGGTAGGGGTCGTCTTCGAAAGGGTTGGAGAGAGGGGGTAAAGGAGGTTTTGTGGGCAAGGGGCTTGGACTTCCAGCAAGCGTGCGTGAGCGTGTTAGATAGGAGTGAATGGAGATGAATGGTACTTGGGACCTGACGATCTGTTGGTGTGAGCAGGGTAATATTTAGTGAAGGGATTCAGGGAAACCGGTTATTTTCATATAGTCGGACTTGAGTCCTGGAAATGGGAAGTACAATGCCTGCACTTTAAAGGAGGGGTTTGGGATATTGGCAGTTTGGAGGGATATGTTGTGCATCTTTATATGTGTATGCTTCCAAACTGTTGTGTTCTGAGCACCTCTGCAAAAACAGTGATAATGTGTGAGTGTGGTGAAAGTGTTGAATGATGATGAAAGTATTTTCTTTTTGGGGATTTTCTTTCTTTTTTGGGTCACCCTGCCTCGGTGGGAGACGGCCGACTTGTTGAAAAAAAAAAAAAAAAACACATAAGTACAATTATCAGAGTACATATAAAATATGCAATAACTTTAAAACACTTGAAATTCTGGAAAGTTTCCAAACATAATAGAGAGATGTGCTCACGGAGAATGTAAACAAACCGGGTGGCACATGGTGTATTAGAAAGATCGCTAGCCATATAGAGAGTTTTGGTCATAATTTGAAATTGCCATATCAGCGGAACACCATAAGGCGAAGCGCTGTAAAGCGGGGCCCTACTGTAGTACGATTTGTCTATATTGAGAGTTCGTTGGTTGTCACCCACAAAGATATTTTTAGTAGCTCGTGGTTAACAGTGCCACTGAACATAGTCGGGTTTGAGTGGGAGAAGACATAAGTAATGTCATCTGCAAATAGAAGTGGTTTAAGATGAGATGAGATGCATTGAAGAGATCACTGGTGTAAATGAGAAAGAGCAGAGGGCCAAGGACACTACCCTGTGGCACTCCAACGACTACAGGCTGTGTAGTCAAGATTACACCTCTCAAGAAATAGGGGATCTGAATTTATATTTCTTAGACAAGTAAAGATCTATACAGTATTCTGTCACTAAGTGGTAATTAATCAAATGCATTTATTTTTGCTATATAGTCATTTGATGAATCTGTGGTGGGTTCATGTTTTTGGTAACAATAGGTCAAGAAATATGTATTATTTTGTTAACTGGTTACTTACTGGGGAACTGTTACTTTGTTTTTCTCCAAGTACTACAATCAATGCCCTCCTCAGAAGCATTTACTACTACAGCACATTCACCATATTGCTTAGTTCATCCCTAAACATTCACTTAACATCTTCCATAACAAAGCTAGAGATAAAAGTATCAGCTGAGGAAGGGTTGGGAAAACAGTGGTGTATTTAAAAATCTAGCAAGCATATGTGAGTTTGCTTGAATGAAATCAGCAGAGGAGAGTAGTTCATGAGATATGTGATGCTGTACCATGAGCAAGATAATATTTATGAAAGGTTGGGTAGTACAGAGCCTTTACATTTAAAGTAGAATAAGGGTGCTGTCCTTTGGTAGTTAAATACTGACCTTATTCTTCTAGAAAAGTAGCTAGAATAAAGGATGAATTCTTTCTTTTTAGGAAGATCACTCTGCCATGGTGGAAATCGTTCATAAGTTACTAAAAATTATTATGCATACAGCATTATCATTTTTTTTCAACAAGCTGGCCATCTTCCACTGAGGCAGGGTGACCCAAAAAAGAAGCACTTTCACCATCATTTACACATAATCACTGTCTTTGCAGAGGTGCATAGGTACGATAGTTCAGATGTCACTCCAAACCACAAATATCCCAAAACCCTTCCTTTAAAGTGAAGGCAATGGACTTCCCATGTCCAGGACTCAAGTCTGGCTAACTGGTTTCTCTGAATCCCTTCACAAACTATTATTAATATTGATATATAATAAAAATATATTAAAAATATAATAAAATACAAATAGCAAATGCAACTAAAATTATAATTTATTCATACATCCTTATCATAAATTATTAAAGAGACTCACAATTATTAAAATTATTGAATTTTAATATAAAACTGAAAATACACAAGAATGTTTTTAAAATCTGATACAGCTGCAGGCTATCACATGCAGGGAAAATCTGACTAAATTATAACCCATCTATCTGTCAATGTACTGTAGTACAGTGGACCCTCGACTAACGCTATTAATCCATTCCTGAGAGTTCATCGTTAGTCAAAATTATCGTTAGTCAAGTTAATTTTCCCCATAAGAAATAATGGAAATCAAATTAATCCGTGTAGGACACCCCAAAGTATGAAAAAAAAATTGTTTTTACCACATGAAATATTAATTTTAATACACACAAACTGAAGAAGACATGCACAGTTACATGACACTTACCATTATTGAAGATCAGGTGATGATTGATGGGATGGGTTACTTCCCTTCCCTTTAAATCTCTCAAACCAACCTTTGCTGGCCTTAAATTCACTCGCATCACCACTAGTTGCTGGCATTTTTTTAATTAAATCGTTATGCAACTTCCTAGCCTTTTCACATATGATCGCTTGAGTGATGCTATCTCCTGCTATCTGTTTTTCGTTTATCCACACCAATAACAGTCTCTCAACATCTTCGAGTACTTGCGATCTCAGTTTCGAGAACATAGTTGCACCTTTGGCAAGAACAGCTTCCTTGATTGCCGTTTTCTTGCCCATAATAGTAGCGATGGTTGATTGGGGTTTTGTGTACAACTTGGCCAGCTTGGAGACACGCACTCCACTTTCATACTTAGCAATGATCTCTTTCTTCATATCCATAGTAATTCTCACCCTTTTTGCTGTAGGGTTGGCACTAGAAGCTTTCTTGGGGCCCATGGTGACTTATTTTGCAGGTGCAATCACTAAAAAGGCTGTGATAATATGAAATGTTCCGATTGTATGCTTGGAAGCGACCGCAGTGGCTGGCTGGCTTGTAAACACTGGCCAGAAGTGGACGCGTCTCAGACGGAACGAATAGTGTTGGTCGAGTTTTTTAGCGCTAGTCGAGGCAAAATTTTTGCGTTAAAATGTATCGCTAGTCAGATTTATCGTTAATCGATGCCATCATTGGTCGAGGGTCCACTGTACTGTGTTTTTAATAAAATCTCACTAAACAATATAAGTATATTATAGTAAAGTACCAAGTAGGAATCTCCAGCATCTATCTCAATATAAGCCAGGATCCAGGCAGGTATGGTAGTGGTGTCTCGCCGCCAAACTGGCTCACTTCGATCTCCACGAATAGTGAAGAACAGCAACAGTGTGCCACTCTCACAGCCTATAAACCGGTACCTGTTAAAAATAGGTAAAAGTTATAAAGTTATTGTTTTTGAAAAATACAAATGGAATGTAGTGTACTCACCTATATGTAGTTGCAGGGGTCAATTCATGGCTCCTGGCTGTGTGTGTGTGTGTGTGTGCATGCATGCGTGTGCCTGTGTGCACGTGTGCATATGTGTGTGTGAGTATGCGTGTGTGTGTGCATGTGCGTGTTTGTGCGTGTGCGTGTGCGTGTGTGTGTGTGTGTGTGTGTGTGTGTGTGTGTGTGTGTGTGTGTGTGTGTGTGTGTGTGTGTGTGTGTGTACTCACCTATTTGTACTCACCTATTTGTGGTTGCAGGGGTCGAGTCCTAGCTCCTGGCCCCGCCTCTTCACCGGTTGCTACTAGACCCTCTCTCTCCCCGCTCCATGAGCTTTATCAAACCTCGTCTTAAAACTGTGTATGGTTCCTGCCTCCACTACGTCATTTTCTAGGCTATTCCACTGCCTTACAACTCTATGACTGAAGAAATACTTCCTACTATCTCTCTGACTCATTTGTGTCTTCAACTTCCAATTGTGGCCTCTTGTTTCTGTGTCCCCTCCCTGGAACATCCTGTCCTTGTCCACCTTGTCTATTCCACGCAGTATTTTATATGTCGTTATCATGTCTCCCCTGACCCTCCTGTCCTCCAGTGTCGTCAGGCCGATTTCCCTTAATCTTTCTTCATAGGACATTCCCCTTAGCTCTGGAACTAACCTTGTCGCAAACCTTTGTACTTTCTCTAGTTTCTTGACGTGCTTTATCAAGTGGGGTTCCAAACAGGTGCTGCATACTCCAGTATGGGCCTGACATACACGGTGTACAGTGTCTTGAATGATTCCTTACTAAGGTGTCGGAATGCTGTTCTCAGGTTTGCCAGGCGCCCATATGCTGCAGCAGTTATCTGATTGATGTGTGCTTCCGGAGACATGCTCGGTGTTATACTCACCCCAAGATCTTTCTCCTTGAGTGAGGTTTGCAGTCTTTGGCCACCTAGCCTATACTCTGTCTGTGGTCTTCTGTGCCCTTCCCCTATCTTCATGACTTTGCATTTGGCAGGATTAAATTCGAGAAGCCATTTGCTGGACCAGGTGTCCAGTCTGTCCAGGTCTCTTTGAAGTCCTGACTGGTCCTCATCAGATTTAATTCTCCTCATTAACTTCACATCATCTGCAAACAGGGACACTTCTGAGTCTAACCCTTCCGTCATGTCGTTCACATATACCAAAAATAGCACTGGTCCTAGGACCGACCCATGTGGGACCCGCTCGTCACAGGTGCCCACTGTGATACATCATTACGTACCATGACTCGTTGTTGCCTCCCTGTCAGGTATTCTCTGATCCATTGCAGTGCCCTTCCTGTTATATGCGCCTGATGCTCTAGCTTCTGCACTAATCTCTTGTGAGGAACTGTGTCAAAGGCCTTCTTGCGTCCAAGAAGATGCAATCAACCCACCCCTCTCTCTCTTGTCTTACTTCTGTTATTTTATCATAAAACTCCAGAAGGTTTGTGACACAGGATTTGCCTTCCGTGAATCCGTGCTGGTTGGCATTTATACTCCTGTTCCGTTCCAGGTGCTCCACCACTCTCCTCCTGATAATCTTCTCCATAATTTTGCATACTATACACGTCAATGACACAGGTCTATAGTTTAGTGCCTCTTTTCTGTCTCCTTTTTTGAAAATGGGAACTACATTTGCCGTCTTCCATGGGGTGTTTTGTGTGTGTGTGTGTGTGTGTGTGTGTGTGTGAGTGTGTGTGTGTGTGTGTGTTTCATGACTCACTAATTGTGCTCAACTCAGCTCCTGGCCCTGCCTCTTCACTGGTTGCTACTAGGTCCTCTCCCTCTCTGCTTCCTGAGCTTTGTCATACCTCTTCTTAAAACTATGTATGGTTCCTGCCTCCACTACTTCACTTGCTAGGCTATTCCACTTCCTGACGACTCTATGACTGAAGAAATACTTCCTAACGTCCCTGTGACTCGTCTGAGTCTTCAGCTTCCAATTGTGACCCCTTGTTTCTGTGTCCCCTCTCTGGAACATCCTGTCTCTGTCCACCTTGTCTATTCCCAGCAGCATCTTGTATGTTGTTATCATGTCTGTGTGATGTCATCAGGGTGGTTTAAAATATTTATACATGGAGTTGTAAAAGAAGTGAGAGCTAGGGTGCTGGGAAGAGGTGTGGGATTAAAATATGCAAAATCTAATATAAAATGAGAGTTGGCACAGTTACTATTTGCTGACGACACTGTGCTTTTGGGAGATTCTGAAGAGAAACTGCAAAGGCTAGTGGATGAATTTGAGAGGGTGTATAATGGAAGAAAGCTGAAAGTGAACATAAATAACAGCAAGGTGATGATGGTAACAAACAAGTTAGGAAATGAAAAACTGGATATCAGGTTGGAAGGAGGGAGTATGGAGGAAGTGAACATGTTCATTTGTATGGAAGTGGACTTGTAGGTGGATGGGTATACAAAAGACAAGGTGAACCATAGAATTGCTGAAGGGAAAAAGGTGGGTGGTACATTGAGGTATCAATGAAGACAAAGAATGTTATACATGAAGGCAAAGAGGAGAATGTATAAAAGTATAAAAGCATCAACTCTCTTATGTGGGTGTGATGCTTGGGCTGTGAATGCTACAGTCAAGAGTAGGTTGGAGATGTCATGTCTGAGGGCAAATGTATTGTGTAAATATTATGCAGAGAATTCATAGTTTGGAGACTAAGAAAACAACCAAAGTTACTAAGAGTATTATCTGGAGGGCTGAGGAGAGGTTGAGGTGATTTGGTCATTTAGAGAGGATGGAGCAAAACAGGATGACTTGGAAGGTGTATATATCTATAGTGGAGGCAAGGTGAGGTAGGGGACATCCTAGCAATGGATGGAGGGAGGGAGGGAGTAAAGGAGATTTTGTGTGCAAGGGGCTTGGATATCCAGCAGGCATGTATGACTATGTTAGACAGGAGTGGAAACAAATAGTTTTTGAGACCTGAAGAGCTGTTGAAGTGTGAGCAGGGTAATATTTTGTGAAGGGATTCAGGGAAACCAGCTAGTCAGACTTGAGTCCTGGAAGTGGGAAGTACAGTGCCTGCACTCTATAGGAGGGGTTTGGTATATCTGCTGCTTGAATGAATATCTGAACTGTCATATCTGCATGCTTCTGGAAAAGACAGTGTTAGTGTGAATGATGGTTAAAGTGTTTCCTTTTAAGGGGACCCTACCTTGGTAGAAGATGGCCAGTAAGTTAAAAAATAGAAAAATATATATAAAACAATGTAAAAAAAAAAAAAGTTATAAAAAATTCTAATTTAATATATCTTGTAGAACTAAGAAATGTTTTAAACAGAGATCTCTAGTGACGTACAAATGAAAAATGCCTTTAATAACTCTTTGTTTTCCATGATTATCTCAAGATAATATGCATAATTAGACAATATGGTTAAAAATCCACAACTGTCAAACTGGTTAGATAAATTACATACATGAAACTGACACACTGAAGCCCGAGGTGGGTCAACTCTGGAGTTGAAATGACTGCTCTCTGTCCTTTATCGTGTCCCTGAGCATCCATTACCATGTAACCACCAGGAGGAAGCTCAGAGTTATCTACATTGCTCTGGTACACCCAGTCAAAATCATCTGATGTAACTTGCACCACTGAGCACATATTTTCTTCAAAATCACAGTTGAAGATGTCACCAGCTATACAGTGAGAACCTCAGTAAGTACTCTATTACAATCCAAAATATTTTTTCAAATGAAATCAATATTTATCTTATATATTAATTTAATGAAAAACAAATGATGAGTATTAATGTGAGATATATCTTACGTGGGTTGGGTGTGATGGGTGGTGAAGGTGTAGCTGCTGGTGGTAGAATGAGACATTCACCAACTGAAGTAGAGAGATCATCTAAGGCAATCCATCCTTCAGCATATGACCCAGTAATCCCTTCAATGACAATCTCAAATTCTTCATGTGCAGATGACCCAGGAATGCCAACCTATAAATATGTTGAGAAATGTTCCTTTAATAGTTCTCAAAAGATACTGATACCATAAGTTTCATAAAAGCAAAAATCTATATGATCATTTCTACATTAAAAATACAACATCAACAGCATTTAATACCACTACATCTACAAAAATATTTCCGAGTTTCAAGCTTCATTATTATAGAGTAGCAATAAAAAGAAAATTTATTCTGCTTAAGCTCTTTGATTGTTGAGATCCCAAATCCTGAAGTGTCTCTCTGTGTCACAAAATATTCGAGAAAAAAAATTTTTTTCTTATGAAATGAAGCCATTAAAATTAAGTCTGCCCATAATGCCTAGGCATGATAGTGGGTCTCTTTGCACTGCAACTCATTATTGTAATTTCATAATCTCAATGTAATCTAATCTTGCAAAGGAATAAAATTTGTTTGTTTGTTGTTTGTTTACTCTTGAACATCGGCAAAAATTGAACATTTCCGCTACTTTGAGCTCAATTTCAAGGTCCTTTTCATCGTGAAACCAATCAAAATCATCTCTATTTCTGTAATATGCCGTTCATTCTATCAAATGAGACCAAGAAAATGAGAATATAACCATAAATACACCTCAAAGTCGGCATTTTAATCCAAAAACACGGTCGAAGTTTTTTTCTCATTATGCACTGTGTGCTGCAGGATTTTTTTTATACTGCTCACACTGACCACACAGATCCATTCTCTCACATGTAGGCCTACTAGCTTTCTCCCCCTTGATTTGAAACTGCTAAAATTTTGGCGTATTAATACGTCAAAAACACTGGCTCATAAGACGTATACTATATACGACACTGACAGTCAAAAGG